ATATATATATATATATAGCGATAGCAATAATGATATTAATAATAACAATAATGAAATTAGTAATAATAACAATAATAATAATAATAATAAAATCAATAGCAATAATGATAATAATGAAAATTAATAATAAAAATAATAATAAAATTAATAATGATAATAATAATAATAATAAAATTAATAATAGTAGTAATGATAATAATAATAAAATTAAAAATAATAGTTATAATAATAAAATTAATATTAATAGTGATAATAACTAAATTAATAATAATAAGAATAAAATTAATAATAATAATAGTAATAGTAATAATACTGATACTAATAATAATAAAATGATCATAATAATGATAGTAATGACAAGTATAATGACCTATCATGCTCATTGTAACCACATTGCATCTGTCTTCTTCCGAGTTGTTTATTATATTATAGTAAGCAAAAGAAGCACTTACGTTTTCTGTCGTTCGTTTCTTGATAGGAGTCCAAGTTCAAAATGTTTTTAACGGGTTTATTGCTTTATCTTTCTGCTGCTCCTCGCGTTTTTCAAATAAACTATAAAAAAGTTATATTTTTTTCACTTCACTTAGAGATAAGAACTACAAATCTTAACCAATTTTAAAGTGCTGTGAAAATTGCAGAAGTTTTCTGGTTTAATCTTAATTATGTACATGTCTGATATTTAGTTTGGTGTTTAGTCGGTTTCATTAAACCTTTATAGTAAAGTGAGGTCAAGAATTACTCCTTGTTTTGCTATTGGCGTACTTTACTTTATTCGTTTCTACTTTGCGGTATCAACCTAGGGTTTTAATGCGCACGGTGATTATTTAAGATTTAATACGGTCTCCTGAATTACAGAGACAATACTAATAACATTTTGTTTGGCCTGCTTTTTCTATTTTGTATGGCATACACCGCGGTAAACTCTTTCAAGAAGATGTTTTGCAAAACAACTACTGTTTTCAGTATATCGACTATAGTACTATGCTAATAAATGGAAATATTGGACTAATTTGATGAGGCTGGATATTCAAGTAAAGAGAGACACTGTGATCAGTGGAAAGTAGGATCTGTAGAATGTTGGTTTAATGAGAGGGATTTTCACAGCAACGGCCTCTGATATTATGTGGATTGGTTAAGCCTACTTGGTTTTTTTCAGACTGAAATTTATTTGCTTAAAAATCTTCAGTGCAGTCTGAACCGTTGGCAGAGATCGCAGCAATGCGGTATTTATTTATTATGAGCTAACTAGAATCTATAATATTACTCGGCCTTGATCTTTCTTTTTCCTTTCCACTAATTCCTGTTTTACGCACTTTTCATTGAAAAAAGGCACAAAAGCAACCTCTTCTTTCAATTGTCAGAAATGAGGTGCTGGTTTTATAAAAAAGAACAAAATTGTGTTTATATGTAAACACTTACTCCTTGAATTTGTTAACACTATCCCTTAGTTTTTTAAAAAATTGTTGTGATAATGTATTTTTGAATTAACGTGACGTTAACATTTTTACAACTCTTTTTTGCACTTTTTGGTGGTCATTGATCGTGGTTTTTTCACTGGTTTAGTGGCGGAAGTCAGAGTCAGAGCAGTTCGCAACTCCAACCAGCTTTCTATAGGTCTACTGAAGAAACTAAGGAACGATTAAACAGAGCCGTGGAAAGCAGCAGTAACAAGAGTGAAAAGTAAGTTTCTGGGGTTCTCTGTAATGACAGCATAAAATAAGTCATTGCCAGTAAAATGAAAAAAATTTTTTTAGTATTTTATACTTTCCTGATTCAAATCTACACCTCACAGTACTAACTTCCCTGTGCCACTGTAAAATCAGTGACAGAAAGGACTTACTTGCTGCCTTAAAACGTTTAGCTCTTTCATGTAAGTGTACTGTAAGATGTTTTAGGGGAAATAAGCATTTCTGGAATCTTATCGATGAATAAATAAGATTTCTTTAAACCATTAGGTTATAACCGCTTTTTTTTATAGAGAAAAGTTTTTTTTAATTTGAAAATTAGTGTTGTGAGAAAGGGGAAAAAGGTTTTTACTTGAAGGAGCTAACCGAAAGACGGTTAAACTTTTCATCAACTAATTCATAATGTATCCTTTCTAATTAACTGCATAAGTCTGATTGGTTGATGATTATTTTTTTGGTGGTGTTGGTAATTTCTTTGAAAAAAAAGCTATAAAAATAGCAAAAGATGTTTTACTTTGTCAGCTTCAAACCAGCCCCTAATTTACCAAAACTTTTCATCAACAAATTTTTCAAGTATAAGAAATTAACAGAGATGCAACAAAATATGAACTGTCGAGAGTTGGTCGTCAAAGCGGTGCAAGGAGTACCATTGAGAAATTTAACAAAGTTGCCGAAGTCAACCAACAAAAACTGGAAAGGTTTGTCTGTCAACTTGTTCACTTAATTCCCTCATTAACCTTTCAATAATTACACACAAACTTTGTTAATCTTCTTCTTCCTATCAAGTACTGCAGTGAAGATACTGAAGTGATTCTCAAATGATCTCTGAGCAGTAAAACTGGACTAGGTAACCACTTGCAGTGTTTAACTATTTTGATGAACTGGACTGGCATTATTTCTGCAGACACTGCCAAACATATATGACACTGTTCAAACTAACAATCGCGTAATGAATTGATTTGAAATTTCTACTTACTCTAAAGTCGGAGACTGCAGCGCACAGTACAGCTAAACGCTTAATAGATACTTCACTTTTTGACAGAAACTAAAAAATTTAGAACAGATTTTTGTTTATTTACGGATAAAAAGTTTTTGATAAAAACGAATCTCCTTTACCTTCGCTTCTAAATTCAAGGACTGCGATTCTCGCATATTTTTCTTCCAATAAGTTCTTAGTTTTTATCAATGCTAAATTACAATGACATTGTTTCTAAACTGTCAATGCTTTTAACGGCAAAAAATTGTTCTCAAATGCTAAACCTGGTTTATACATGCTGTTCGTCACCTACCAGCTTTTGCGCCAGCAGTGAGCAATAATCTTGAAAATTCAAGCAAGCATCGGAAAATCTCCGTGGCGGCTGTTTAAAATGCTGTCAAAACTAGTCGGATTTTTCCAAAAAGCCGATTAAATTTTTCCCCAGAATTTTATCTTGCCGCAAGCCTTATCAATACTGCAAAAACTTTCTTGTCCTTACAACGCAACAATCATTAATTTAGCAAAATTTAGGCTAAGGCTACACCAGACAAAGATTAATTGAATTTTTTCCAATCTAAATATATTTATTTTTAACAAGCAACCACAGCTTAAGCAACATTGGTAATCAATTTCAAGTTAATTAGTCATGCGAGTAGTAAACGGCTTTGGTACCTGTTAAGAACGGCTATCCTTCAAAGACTAAAGTGATGCTAATTACTTCGTTCTTTCAAGAAGAGTGAAAAGAACAGTCGCGTAATGATAACTTTTATAACCGAGTGCACAACTAACTGGCAGTTATCGTCATCTCATGATCGGTACCAAGTTGCTTTAAGTGTCTAATTTTGGGGACTTTACTTTTTTTTATAACTTGTCTTTCCTCAATAACTTTTAATTTCTTCCACACTGCAAAAATGAAAAAAAATTCCAGTTCTTAATAGTACGGTCAGTGATTTTATGCGTCGTCCGCAAAATCAGGCACTTAAAGCACTCACTATAACTTTAGATCCGTATTATCAATAGTCACAGATAGCACGTCTAGGCAATTTTTTCCGCCCGAGTAACGTTATATACATCAGACTACACATTCACTTATTGTTGCAAATGGACAAGCAAAAAATACGCAACAGTAAACCTATTCCATCGGTGGGTCACCCTCAGGATGACCTAATTAGGACAGTCTGATGCAAATGAGGAAATAATTGTTCCAGCAACCCTCATATGTTGCGCGACTTCTCCAACTTTCCTGCTTCCGTTTTTTATTCACTATTTTACAGTGTTACTCCGTATCTGACTTATGTGCTAAAGGACCTTATAGCCTATATAGTATAGACGGCCAACTTTAGAATTTGCTTCTTCAAAACACTGTTAATCAACAATAAAACCTAAGATGGCTAAAACAGTTTAAATGGAAGCCGGTAGTCACCAAAATTCCAACTTTGTTTTTGCCCAACTTTTTTCCCTATTTACCGTTGTCACTAGTAACGCTCCTCTGTACTGAAAAAAAATCCCTCAAGACATGTCACATGTTACAAAAATGGCACTTAAAGTGAAACGAAAGCAACCAACTGTAGGAGATCAATTTTCATGCATTTTTTTACTGCTGATTTCACTTAAGTAAGCAGTAGCAGTGAAATCATCGCTAAATAAACGGTTCACTATATTCTGAAATTACAGCTCAACAACAGCTTCTCTTTTCCTCTTTTTTCTTTTAAAGTGCTTTAAGTCCTATATTAGATATTAGGCGAATAATGATCAGTGAAAAGCGGCTACTGATAGTCGTGACATTCACTTCAGAAATCCATTTTCCGAAACTTATTCAATACAACATTTTGATACAAAAACGCCTGATTATGGACGTCCTCCAAAAGGATCAAAAACAGAAGCCCGGGGAATAAAAGCAGGTAATGAGTAGTTTCCATAAAGCTTTTCAGTTCTCTTCGGATGTATACGTATAAAAAATTGATAGTTTATTGCACCGTTTGAAAAATTTCATCATCACATTACAAATGAAGTTTTAGAAGCCTACTAATTTGTTTTAGGCGTTCACGTGATGAGGGAGGTTTTGTTTTTGATGGAAACAATTAATGACTATGCCGTAGGTGAACCGCCGAATCGAATTATCAGATTTGGTGACCTGTTTACCATTTATGAACATTATTCTAATAAGGTCAGTGGTACCCCCCCTTGTCGTAAACACTTTGTTCACTCATAGAATTAGCGTGTTTTCGAAATCAAAGGAAAATTTTACTTGAAACCTTTCTAAACAATTTGTGACACCAAATTGTAATATTGTAATATAAAATTCCAGCAAGTGTGAAGAACTTATAAAAGGAGATGCGCAGGATTTATAGAATTGAAGCGATTCAAAACTAATTACTATAATTCGTTGATTTAAAATAACATCAATAATTTCGAGTTAATTACGAACACACAAAAAAGAAAAGCTAACAAGGCGCAACCACTGTAAAACAACTGAAAACAGTTATGCCAACATCAGCAAATAAACTCAACTTTTATACTCTGTTTCTTGAAAAAGCCTTCAACGACGGTTGTTCTGCCTTTTGTGATAATCAATGTATTTATCATTTTGCTACGTACTCCCCTTTATTTTACGTTCCTCATATCTAGTCCACCCAAAATATT